CAGAGGCTGTGGAACGTGGACAGTCAAAGCTTTCTTTGAAAAAGAATCCCTGTAGACAGTAGAGGCTATTCAACCCCATATTATGGAGAGCCATACAAGTACTTCAAGCCCTAGACACACACAAGAGAGAGAGCTCTATCAATATGGTCATACAATATTATTTATCACCCTAAAACCGATTTTTTGGCCAAAAAAAACGTTAATTTGGTTAGCGATTTACTGATTCAAGCAGTTGAACTATCAATCCGGATAACAGTTTTTGGTTTTTTTTTTTAAGTCAGAACAGGCTGTCCATTTGATCTGGGAACTAGTCCCCTTAACGGTTCTCTATCCAATCGGTTTTAAAAACCTTGCTTTCAACTGTTTTTGTCCTTTTTTTTTACTTTGGCTCAGTTTGGAAGGAGTACAAGTGCAAATATGTAGAGTGCAAAACTTTATATTTTATATTATTTTGTATGTATTTGCAACATACATATTTGTATTTGTACTCCTTCCAAACTGAACCTTAGGCTCAGTTTGTATTAGGCTCAGTTTGGAAGGAGTACAAATACAAATACTCAGAATGTAAAACCTTACATTTTGTATTATTTTATATGTATTTGTATTGTACATATTTGTATTTACACTCCTTTCAAATTGAGCTTAAAAAACTTATATGGTTTTTGGTAGAAAGATAACACAAACAACGAGGTTAAATATTCTTTTTGACCTGTTTTATTGGGGATGGATCTGATCACAACAAAAAATGTTCCAACAAGTTCCAACCTGATCTGTGTCCACACATCACATACATGGTGGGTCTCAGATTCATGGTGAGATGTACAGATACAGATCATGTTGGTACTGAGTTGGTACAATTTTTGTTGTGAGCAGATCCCAGTCCTGTTTTATATTTCCTCTTGTATAAAGGTAGAGAAGAGGAAAATAGGGAGAGTGACAATAAAACCGTTTGCAGTATTTCTGAAAGAAATAGTTTTATTTTCTTTAACATTTCTTCTTTTTCCTCTTCCTTTTTTTCGTTTCATTTCTTTTGCTTTTTTCTTTTCCTTTTTTTTTGTATTTGTTCAAGGAAATGATATTAAGGCTGCATTTGATTGCAGTGAATTTTATTTGTACTAATACAAATAAAAAAAATGCAAATTCTGGTCCTGTTTTGTTTTGGATTTTACTTTATCTCGATTCAGGTCTTTTGATATGATTTATGCCAAGGAAGTCAGAGCTATATAACTATCCTCAAAAACATATTTGAAATTTAAGAAAACTCAATTTTTACTAAGTGAATTAGAGAGAGAGAGAACAATGTCACCAACTAATTGTGTCCCAACTTTCTATATGCTCTCATTGTGATCGCATGCTTCCTAACTCACCATTATTTGCATTTAAATATTATTTCATAATTCTTATAAAAATGGCCATTACCCATTGTTGGTCCCTCCTATCTGAGGCATTGTTATGGGTGCACTGGATATGGACCTTCTAGTTGGCATTGGAAGGTCCTAACTGACTCAGTTGGTAAGATCTTTACCTGGTTGTAGTTGAGAATTTAGGTTTGAATCCCACCGTCTCAGTTGTTTTGTGGGACAGGGATTTTGAGTTTGGGGGATGAACTACTTCCTTGTACCAATTATTTGGGATAGGCTACATGAATAATATTTCTCCATTTCAATGTCATATCCATTATTAAACTATGGACACTTAAATCATTTGTTATTAGTTCTGCCCAACTCATTTTGTGTCTTTTTATAACTCTTAGCCCCTTCGGTTCTAATAGGTGTTGTAGACAATACTCTATGCACTTGATAGAACATTTTTACCTAGTAGTCACTCTTAGGCCCCGTTCGTTTTTCGGTAAGTTACTTATCCAGGTAAATACAGTTAGTTACCTGGGTAAGTTTTTCTCTTGGGAAATGCTTACCCAAGTAAGTATATTTACCCGGGTAAGTTTTTCTCTTGGGAAATGATTACCCAAGTAAGTATATTTACCCATATTCTTTTATTTCCCAAGTAAAAAAAGAAAATGATCATTTTAGCCATAAAAATCCAATATTAAATGGGGCATTTTTGTCCCATTTAAGTGTTGAAATCTTCCCCCAGGTGAGAAAGTTATTTACCCACCTAGGAGATGGGTATCACTTAAACTTTCCTTGATCCCCACATTAATCTGTAAAAAGAACATGGTATTCTTGGTTAATAGGATTTTGAATCCCATTGACCAACTTTCCCCCCTCTCAAAATCCAAAAAAAGAACACCCCCTTAGGTTATTTCATATTTGGATACGTTTTTTTTTTTTTTTTTTTGCCATCAGCAAATTAACTTGGGTTGGGTAGGATTCTGTCCAAGGTTAATGGGAACAATATCCACTGACTTCACTAGCTGACTTTCTACTCACTTTTTCAATTGACAAAACTATGTGAAAGGGTTAATAGGCTTTCCTCTTGAGGAGAATCTATCCCAAGTTCTTTGACATGGAGAGATGATACTCCAATTTGGAGAGAGAGAGAGAGAGACCCTGAATTGAGTGACAATATATTCGCTTTGTCAATCCACATCACTCATTGTCTTATAAATAGGTAGAAAGGGAACATGTGGAGCCCCTCTGGAGCACCATTCCTAGGATTTTTAGATCACTACAGTCTCTCCCATAAACCTTTTTGTGCATCAAACACTGGCAGATAGATGTGGGAAATCAGCCATGGGCCATGGGCCATGGGCCATCACCGGCCAGGGTAGGATGACTCTGGATCCAAACACGAAGGGCATCAGCCATCAAGGGAGAGTAGCGTTTGGATGGAGTGTAAAAAAGAAAGAAAAGCTATAAACATTTGGGTTGGATACTTGGATACAATGATGCAAAAGCCAAGACGAGGAGGTGATTACGTATTACACAAAGACAAATATCTTCTACGCACCAGCACCTTTACTCAGTCTGTGATTCTCTCTTTGTTGCTGCATTACTTTCACTCCCATCTATCTATATATCCATCCACCCATCTCTCTGTCTGTTAGACATTCATTTCAATTCTCAGCAGCACTCTCTCTCTCCAAAAGAGGAGAGAGAGAGAGAGTCTGTGGAGCAAAGTTGTGGACGCCATGAAATCTCCGGGAATATATCACGTGGCACAACAGTCGAGGCTGAGCACATCCCTCACTCACACTCTCTCTCTCTCTGCAAAAGTTAACCACACCACACGAGTTACTTTTTTTTCCCATTTTAACTGTCTGGTATTCTTTTTTTACTCTCTTCCTCCGGGTGGAATTGATCGTCAAACTTTCATTTAATACCAATCCTATACTGTCTAAAATAAGTGATTATTGAAAAAGTGCTTAAAAATAAATACTTAGAGCTAATCAGCCACTTATTGAATAAGCACTTAAAACTTAAAGGAAGTAAATTTTGGGTTTCTCAAAAAACGCCAGTAAGCACTTAAAAATAACCTTATTCTCAGGATGAACACTTGTTTCAGACTTATTTTGTCAAAGTGATAATTAGTTTGATTCCAACCCAAATGTATTTAGCATTAAAGATAGATAGATGGATTACATTTGCTTGGGGCCTCCCCTCCCCAAGCCTGACTCAGACTCAGACTCAGACTCAGACTGGCTGTCACAATTGATGAGGGTACGTCCCTGTAGAATTTTTTTTTTCCTGCGTGCCCCCTGCTTTAAGCTTTGTCTTCTCTCCTAGTCATTGTATGGCGTATGTATCAGACTAACAACAATTATAGCAATAATGATTCAATACGTAACTGCTGACATGCATGTAGAGATTTGGACTCAGCAAATGATAAGTCCCACTTACTCCCACCCCACTTTAGGGTAAAGGGATGGATCTCCATTCTCCATTCTCCATTCCCCAACGCCTTAATAGAGGGAAAGAGAAAGATGTTCCCATTTATCTCCTTAAAAATTCTTGCAAGAAAAGGCAATGATTTCAGACCACCTGCTGGTCTCACACCCTGCAGTTAATAAGAGTACAGGTGCCTAATGACTCGTATAGGCAAGGTTCAAAATATAGATATGCCCGATACCGATAGGTGTATCAGATGTCTTTTTTTATTTTTTATTTTTTATTTTTTTTGCAACCGATTGAAGGGAGCCAATTTAGAACTCCTTCACCCCATGAACCGATCAGACAGAAGTGATATTGGCAAGCCAAGCCAACTGATGTACTGCTACCGCCCACGAGAATGGTGGGGAGGGACCTTGACTCATGTTTCGTTGATGCGGATGGCGAGGATTCCAATACAAAGGCTTACAAGTTAAATGTCATGCCTTCTTGAGCAAGCATGATGAGATTTTTCATTTTTCATTTTGAAGGAAAGGATCAAAGGACCCATGCCATGGCAGACAGTGTGAAGGAACCCACCAACCCCCCCCCCACCCCCCACTAAGTCACTATTGTGATTACAGTCCATTAGAATCAGCGGCACCACCCATCTATCTACCAAAAGGGTGGACTGGACTCCCCACAGATTCCTCATAATGAGCACTTAAAAGAGAGAGAGAGCACTTCCAAGGAAGGAAAAGATAAAAGAAAAAGGTGAAGCGGCAGGCAGATGGCAGTGGTAGAGGAGCAGCGGACGAACACAAATGAAAAATTAAAATTCAACATCAAGACTGACGCGTGGTACGCGTACCTTACCTTGGAGTTGGAGGGGCTAAAGGGAACAGACCCACCACCCTATGATTCTCACCCAAGGGGGGGAGGGGGTAGGGGAGTTTTTTTTTCCTTAGTCAAAAAGAAACATAATTGGAACGAAATTAACTCGAACATCATCTTCATCATTCCTTTCGAACAAATCCACAAACACCTATCGAGACATGATCATCTTACCACTCCCCCATCCGCGTAGAGATCTTCATATGGGGACCCGTAGGGCATCTTGTTTTCTGACCACTGTGGATGCATGGTCAATTTAACACTCATTTGGTAAAAGACTTGAGTGGGTCTGATATCTGTGTTTGATATTTGATATACATATAATAAAAGAATAAATAATTGAACATAAACAACAATATAATGGTTTTATGCAATCCAACTTCATTATTTTCTAAGACTGAAAAGTTTCTGCTGCCAAATAGATGTTTTAATAACATCATTGATCATTCTTCCCAACGGCCTAGATACGAATAAATGCATCACTTTGCTAGTCAGAAGGTATACATAGTGCTTGTTCATGCTAAGCATGTTTCACAACAATCAGAACTATATCACTCCTTGTTACCCACCAATACATATTACTACTCTTCTTCTTCCTCCTCTGCTCAGCCAAGCAATAAAACAAATGGCCTTTTGAGCTCCCGACTCTCTGTATACCCTCTAGCAACCCTGCCCCGCCCACGCCACTGCAATTATATTAAGCTAAAGAAGATTAAAAATAAAATCCATGACAAGAAAAATTGAGCTCATACCTGCAACCCCTCCAAGCTGCAAGCTTTCAGACGGACCAACATGCTCAACCCATGAATGGAGCTCAGAGAACCTCAGCATCGCCTTCGCATTTATCTCATCTGTTGTCCAAACAAACCCTGGCTCCATCACAAGAAAAATTTGAAACCATTGACCACAATTCCTCCAAGCTGCAACCTGTCAGCAAATACATGCTCGGTCCAAAGATTTGGAGTCAAGAGAACCTCAATGCGGACCTCTCACCCATATTCCAAACAAAGCTTGGCATATCACATCTAGGCCCTGCAATTGTCCGGTAAATATAAAGCTTGTCAATAGGTAAACTTTCAGGCCTCGACTCTGGGGATCCCCTCTCATCAATGACCTCAACGTTGAGACTTGGCATCTTCTGACCTAGCAACTTGCATGCTTCAAAACTCACTGAACATGAAGACATCCAAAGGGATCGCATTGTCTCCAGCTTTGACGCATTAGCTAGGAGGGCTTGGTCACCAAACGGGCAATCCCGGATCTCCAGCTTTCGGAGGCTATTGCACCCTGACAAGACATGATGGAGGCCCAAATCGCTATCCCCAGCAAAGGCTATTGAGAGCATCTCAAGCTTCTTTGCATGTGTTCCGATGTACTCAAATACACGGTCAGTAAGGAGACCAGAGAGTGAAAGGCGCTGGAGGTCCTTGCAGTTCTCAACAATGGCACCGAAGCCAGCATCTAGTGGTTGCAGAGTAAGGTAATCTGGTGCCCGGGGCTCGATGATACAGAGACGGAAGCGAGTCAAGTTGGGGCGGTTCCTAGCAATGGTAAATAAGGCAGCATTTGACATCTGCCGGCAGAAATAGAGAACTGATTGCAGCTTAGGACAACCCTCAGAAACAGAGACAAGGCCTTGTTCTGTCAAAGAGACATTAGCCTCTACACCAAATGGGTCAGATGGAAACACTCTCAGCTCTTGAAGGTCCTTGCAAGTTGTTGCAAGGGCATTGAGTCCACAGTCTTCAATGTAATCCAATACCTGTATTGTTTTCTTGCTTTAGATTTCAAATGAGAAAAAATGACCACAACATAGACATAGATATCATCCAGGGAGTATATTTTCAGCAAGGCATGCAAATAAAAAGGTGCTCTTAGGACACGCAATTATAAGTGACATACCCACAATCGTTGCAGATTTGGACACTGTCTGATGAGCTTGACGAGATCAGGGCTTTGGATGGTGGCATAACTCAGGTTCAAAGATCTAATCCCAGCACAGATAGAATAGGTCGCTGGAAGATATGATGGGACCGCTTCCCAGAACCCTGATAGGCTTTTAAGCCCCTTGCAGCCTGCAAACGCATCTCCAAGCTTTGAATAGAGTTCAGGACGGAGTTCTGCAGTGTAGGCACCGGTGCCCAGATCAACAAGCTGAGGAGCTCGGCGAAGGAGGTTAGGGAGCTTGTCAAGAGGCACAGAATTGTTGAGCCTGAGGGTCCTCAGGTTGGTGCACCTACTCACCAGGCGCTCCAGGGCGGAGAAGCTAACCTCCCCATCAAGACATGGGAAACTAAGAGAGACCAGTGACGTGCATGATTCAGGGAAATGGCTGAGCCAATTCCCACTACGATCATCCACTTCACATTCCCACAACTCCAGCACCCTCAGATTCCTGCATTAGACCATAGCCAAGAAAAAGATGGGTAAAGAATGAAAAGGGCCAAAAAAAGGATGGGAAGAACAATTTCTGCAACCAAATGCATACTACTGAAATTGAAAGAAAACAAATTGTTTCACTGAATTAGAACATCCAACCCAGGGGTCCTTGTAGAAATTTGATATCATAAGATGAAATTATGTAACTGCCCTGGTTAAATTTTTCTAGTTCAATGATTTTACTCAAGGAGGAATTTGTTCCTTTAATCTTCTACCGACTGCCAAAATTTTAAACGAACCGGATCCTAAAGATACAACTCAAACGAACCTCAAAAGAACGAAGTAAACAAAACCATTATTATCATAAAAATGAAACAGGCAAAGGAAAAGAGAATGAAATCCGGGAATCCAGAGGAACCCACATTGTCCCAAACACAACCCTCCAAAATCCAAAAAGGAGAACCGTATGATATCATTCCATAAGAAAACAAAAGAAACACAGAAAATAAGGAACCAGATGGCCATCATTAGGTTTTCCACATTAGTCATTTCATTTCAAAATCCATCTTCCATCTGGATCTCTCAGAGATAAAAATGGCAACTCTAGGAAATACACAGAGCTCCAGAACCATGGGTTCCCAGTTCTAGTACGAAAAACCAAGGAACTAAAACCCGCAATAGCAAACAAAATGAAATCTTTCAATAGAATAACCGATACCATTTCGATCACAACTAGAGGTCAGTTCAGGACGGGGCGATAAACGGGAGAAGATTTGCAACCAAAAATGGAAAAGTAAGAAAATAGTGACGGCAACCGTCCCGGGGAAACTTGCGCCATTCTCCATCAAAGACAAGAAGTTGGAGCCAAGAAAAATTAGAAAGAAATAAAATAAAATCTTTCATGCATTGACCAGCGATTAGCAACCAAACTACTGAAAGTAATGACAACTTGAGGTTTCAGTTCAACCTACTAAAGATCATGAACAAACCCCAGAACACAAAACAACAGAAATGGTTCAGGAAGAAGAACCTGCAATTGGCAGCAATGGCGGCAAGTCCATCAGTAGTAAACCCCTCGCACGACGAGAGAACCAAAACACTAAAATTCTTAAACGAACGCGAGATCAGCTCCAACGCTTCGTCGGTCACCACCATGCGCTTTAACCTCAGCTCCTCCAACCACGGATAAGCTTCTGCCATGGCCGAGATCCAAGGGTACACATATCCCCCCCATCCCTCCGGCACGAGATTAAAATCAGCAAAATGTGGTTTCCCCTTCAACGACACAGATCGCAGCTCCGGAAACCGTCTCATCACAATCCTAGGGCTAACTGCGTAGCAGTTCCCGACGAAGATCCGACGCCGGCACCACCTCTCGATCTCATACCAAGACTTGCATACCAGAGAAACGGCGTTCCTGTCCTTATCGTCCTGAATGAAAGAGAAAACATGCTCTAAGACCTCTTCCGGAAAGGAATACGCCATTGAAGCTTCGATTAGCAGAACTTCGATTTCTCAACAGCTTAAGTAATATGGATGCTTAAAAGAATTAGCTCAAAACAAAAATTTATAGATTAACCGGTCAAGATAACTTAGAAAAAAGAGATCTCCGACGCCATTAACAATCTTAGATCGAGCTGAGTTCCAGGGAGAGAGACGGAGACAGAGAAAGAAACAGTAAGAAGCATCAAGGGGATAAGGCTTTATTTTTTTGCAGGGTGGGTGGTTAAATCTTAACCGGGGTTGAGCGTGGGTTAAGTGGGCGCTGATATTAATCGACGGATCATAACAATTAAGGCCTCTGGAGGTGTATGGTGGCCGTTCGATTCCCTGTACCAGTCTACATAGAGCCAGCGTTCTTATCCGTCTGTGTGAAAGCGCAGCCGCTAAAATAGAAAAAAAAATTGAAAATGAAAAATACGGATTCCTACGGAAGCGGGAAACGTATAGGAAGACGTGTCGCGATAACTCGATTTATAAAAAAAAATATCGTATCGGAATTCGGAAATCGGAAACCTCTCGAGCGTAACCAGTTGGAAATGGAATCTCGTGTTGGGGTTTGGCAGCGGGGTGAGGGGTAAAAAGGACTCTGTCACCAAACGCATCCAATATCAAAAGTTGAGATCGCGTTGGATTGAGATTTGCAGGTTGGCCCACCACGAACCATAATTAGCATCACGGAATATGAGGCCCACATCGGGGACCATACGAAATGTGGGCCCGGGGCTCCGGGATGGGCCACAAGAGACAACCATACTAATGTGACGGTACAGGACGGTTGTAGACCCAAAGTGAGATGCTCATGCTCCTTCACTCGGACTCGCTCAGTCGAGATTATATACGGTCTGTCCGCTTATATTCCGGAAATACGGTCTGCATACGCTGCTTCAAATGGAATTTTGCGTCTATAAAACGAAAAAACAAAAGAGCGTCGTTCGTCAGATATTGGGCAAAGTACAGGTACGATATTCACTATATAGTTACACAGTCTGATTGACCGAATTATTGATGTCTGGTGGGTGAAATGACCTTATCGCCCGTAACAGTTATATGGGTTTTGTCTCGGTAAGAGAAAATGAAGGGATAGGATTGTCTTTTAGCAAAAGGACACTCTAGCATGGTTGGCAGTATGGACCTGTCCTTTTTTACGTCGAAAGCTGAGTTTTTTTAAACCGACGGTCCAGATTGAGAGATTGCAAAGGAAAGGATCTGGACCGTTGGATGGGCGCCTCGCCTCCTCCTGGTAGGCGTCTTTGTCAATAGCAACTGTAAAAGCTTGTCCGTTTTTACTCTTTTTTATTTATTAATTAAATATTGTAAATTACGACGGATAGCAAGTTGCGAGGACTATGGAATTATGGAAGGATTCCAAAATGGTAGCGAAAAGATGTAAGAGAGGTTCCGATCCAACAGTCGTAATCGGAGGTAGAGAATCCTCTCTGTCCTCCTCTCAGATCTCCATCAAAGTTCCACCTTTGATTGAGAGAAGACTAATGGGGAAGGAATGGCGCAGAACTGACTAAACTGACAAGCGTCAAATCAATCAACGGTCTGGATTCGGGATGTCTTCTGTTCACGTGGGTGAAATAAGACAGGCGCTTGCCCTAGGTGACCGACCTGTCACCTGTTTGGAAATTAGAAGCTTTTATTTTCCTTCTAATTTTTAATTAAAAATTTAATATAATTTTTTGGAATCAACAATTGGGGAAATTTAATTAAATAACATCTTTTTAGTAATAAAGTAATAATGAGATGAGTTGGCTAGCATATATTTGCCAAAAATCGAGATTAAGAAAATTAAAAAAGGATTTTATTAAGGAAACAAACGAGTCTTAGGAGGAATTAATTAATACGCCCACGCATGGCTTTCCGGGATTCTCTCTTCCCCTCGAAGTTGTAAAGTTCTAGAATTGCTTGTGAACAACGAATATGCAACTCTTGGTTTTCTTCGCCCACGGAGAGGGGACAGGACCCATGAACAACGAATATCTTTGTTGTGTAAATATATCTTTCGGTGGGCCCCCCCGCCGTGTCTGCACGGCGAAGAATGCAAGAGTTGCATAAACTGTTGTTGTTTTGTTAAGTAGTATTAATTTAAGCCATATGGTACGATCGAATGGTATAAAAATTAGGGTTTGTTAATTAATTAATTAACTGATAATGGGACTTTTGACCATCTTTCTTTCCCATCATACACTGAAAAGTTTGGTTTTTTTATTATCTTAACTAATCAATTAATTAATCAAATGAGGTAAGGTTTTATCTGTTGATTAAGGGTGAAATCAAAACCCCCTCTCCATTGAAAGGGTATAAGAGGGAGAAAAAAAAATGCAAAGTAACCCGTCAGGTGATTCAAGTAATGCATGTGAGCTGCTCCAAACCATGGATTTGAAAGGTCATCTATTTAGATGGTCCTTAGTCCATTGGTCCATGAAAAAAGAGAGAAATTTTGTCTTGATCAGTTGACTGTTTTTACCTCTGGACGGATTGAAATAGTTGAATGAGCTTCAATCATAGAAGCTGTATGAATGGGCTTCTAGGGGTGGCCCACAAGATGGGGAGGAGAATTGGAAATTCAAGAGTGTAAGAGTGTGGAAGATTGTCAATATATAAAAAGGGAATCAAGTGTAAACATTAGTATATCCGATACAAAGAAGGTAGTCCAAAGGGTGACCCGATTGGCAATTGGGGTCATAACAACATCATCATCCAACCCTTATTCTGATTATATGGGGTCTTACATGGATCTTGTTTTTCCATATCGATTGTTAAATTATATAGGGTCACATCATATTTACATCAAGCCTTATACCCAACTATATGAGGTTGGTTATATGGATCTTCATTCACCATTATGTTCTATTCAATGTTATATCCATTCTTACTMTTTTCTTATTCTTTTTTTTTTCTTTTTATTACCTACAATTTTGTAGGTGAAAGGATTAATTATTGAATTTAGGGCTGCAAAATGGTTCGGAATCCATAAAGGGTATATCTGATCCAATTCGGTAAGAAATCCAACTAATCCGATTTCGATAAGAATTTGTCAGATTTCCAACATTATGATTTGAATTCGAACATTGATTTGGATTATAATCAAAATAACATTGAAGATATAATATAAATAATATGCTATATTATTCATAAATAATAATCTATATACATACTAAAATATAATGATGTCATGTCATGGCATGAGCTTTCTCCATTACCCCAATAGAGAACTCTCAGCCCCTCTCATTTTAGCCTTCCTTCCTCCCTCGTGAAGCCACCTCACCACTCCCTTCTCCCTCTCTCATAATGACACCTCATCATGTCTGACCCACCCCTCTTTACTCTATATTTATACCTTTGGATATCCCTTCCTAAAACTATTCCTAAAATCTCTCTACCAAAATCTAATCTAATCTAGCCAAGTGGCACCACTATCTCCCACTTTTTCCTAAATTATATCTAATTTAGTATAGTTTTTCTCCTAAGTTATCTCTAATTCCTATTTATCCTCTCCCCCAATTTTCATCTAAAACTATCAAAAGAAAGTTTTAATTAAAAAATTTAACAATTATTTAAATATTATAATAAAATTATGTAATAACTTTAAAACATTTATTTCAATAATAAAAATTTAAAATTAAAAAATATTATTCAAAATTTTCAATAACTAATTATTATAAATAACAAAATATTAAAAATAGCTAAATATTATACAACAAAATATTTAATATTATGTAATAACTTTAAAATAAATAAAAATTAAATAATGAAAATTTTTAAATATGTTGCATCTTATTTAAATAATTAAATAACTAAATATGTAAAAAAAATATTTAATATAACTAAATTTTAAATAACTAAAATAACAAAGTTATGTAATAATAGTATAATGTGCAATTTTATGGATTATGAAATTCAATAAATAAGTAATATTGGAATAACTAAGTAATGAGATTATTTAAATAGACAAATAATATTGTAAATAACTAATTTTAATATTTTAAATTTAAGAAAATTAATAACTAAATCATATTTTAAATATTATTTAAAAACAAATAAAATAGATTAAACAAAGGAATTATGTACTAACCTTAAAATTGTATCAAAAACACAAAAATAATTATAATAGATTTAATAATATTTGATAATAAGAATATAAAATATAAATAACTTAATTTTTTTAATATAATTAAAATAATGAAAATAGGTTATATAATTCACAGGTATTGAAGCTTTCAAATAACAAAAATAGGTAATAACTTTCAAAAATGTTTTTAATAGATACTAAAAAATATAATAATAATTGCAATTATTAATGTACTAATAATAAAAACATTATTTCACTTATATCAATTAATAATTCTAGAAAATAAATTTTCAGAAAATTGATATTTATTAATAATAATTTTAAAATCTTAATATATATTAATTATATATTTATATATACTAAAATTTATATTTATTGTATTTTTAATAATTATTTATTCTACTTTTGTGATAAATATATTTAAATCTATTTTTGTTATATTATTTAATAGAAATTTTTCAATAATTATAGGAGATTAAACTATTGTCATTTATTAGATATTAAACTATTAGTTTAGTTAAAATTAGGAGTGTTTGTGGGTTGGTTCGATTCAGTTGTAAGTTGTTTAATCAACCAAATTGACCTAGTCAAGTTGGGGGGTTGGTCACCCAAAACCAACCAACTATTAGTGAAAATCAGCTAACTTGGGTTATATTGGTTTGGGTCAATTTTAGGTTTAGTTGGTTGGTTGAAAAAATTTAAACTTAAATATTGATCCGACCTGGTTAGGTTGGGAAATTGCTGAATTGGAACCCACCATAAATACTAGAAAACCAACAAACTCGAGTCGAGTTGGTCGGTTTCATCGACCTAGCTGAAATTAGTTATTGTTGTTTTTGTATTGTAAAAAATTATTGTGTAAATAAAATATAACAAATTATTAATTATTTAAAATGTTAAAATATAAAACAATTGTCTACTCTTATGTGCTTTTATTGTTTAGCTTTCGCATAACAATGCTTGTGCATCATACGGGTCCCTACTAAGTGCAACTTGAATGGGTTGGGTCGGGTTAAGGGTTAATCCATCCCTAAGTCTCAAACCTCAAGCTCAAGCTTGGTCCAATTCAAGGTTAAGCCTAAGTTAACCAACTTAGGCCCAACTCAACCTTAA